AATTTCATCTAAGTAAGAGTGGTTTTTTTCCTTCCAGATTTGTAAAAAATCCATACGTGATAGAAAAAAATTAATGTTATTTTCGAAATCTGCTTAGCTGAATTATGGAAAATCCGTTATTAAAACCAAAACAACTTTTATAAAGTTTCAATTCGTAAGCCTAAGTTATTGGTAAGCTTAGTGAGAGTCCAATAAAAAAAGACAAATATTATTGGGATTATATTCCGATAAATTTGATTGTTTGATTTTAGTCTTCAGACTAAAATATAGGTTTACTTTGATTGTGCATCTGTCTATTTTGAAATAGTTTTCTACTTCTAAAAATAAGTTCGTAAAAAATATAATTCGAAAAAGAAATGGCGCGTCGTTTTGATCACTGTGTTGGCTGATCTACTCGCGGTTATTATCCAGTTTTTTTATATACATTCCAGGTCGTGCCTAATGGATGTATGTGAATGTTCAAATGAACGCAAGTGTTACTGTCAAGCCGTGCAAGCATATGCTCGAGAATGCGAGCGTCAGAAGGCCAATATTGACTTAAACTGGAGAGCATTGACAGGCTGTGAAAGTAGGTCAATCAAATAGAAATTCTGAATATATTGTATTGAACTTTGTATATTTATCAAAGCCATATTAGTATTATTACATTAGAGAAGTTTTTGCATTAAGGGGACTTTAAAATATTGCCTTCCAAGTAATGACACTAACTTCTTTATATACATTTAGTTTAGAAGATATATAGTCACACCTTCGTTAGTCGGATGACGTAGAACCCACATTTTGAATGAGTGATAAAGGTTTCTTCTTTAGCCATTCAAGCGTTTATTTTACCTTAGTAAGTCGTTGAAATGGGCAACCTGGCAACAATGGCGTCTTCTACCCAACTTCCATGTGTCTTCCACACGCATGTGGATCACAATGGCGTCTTCTACCCAACTTTCATGTATCTTCCACACGCATGTGGATCACAATGGCGTCTTCTACCCAACTTTCATGTATCTTCACACGCATGTGGATCACAATGGCGTCTTCTACCCAACTTTCATGTATCTTCCACACGCATGTGGATCACAATGGCGTCTTCTACCCAACTTTCATGTATCTTCCA